CCATCGGTACCCTTCCAAGATTCCTCCAACCGCAGTTCGACATCCCTTCTCTCGCTGATTTGCTGCCATCCCTTTTACAATAGCTAGACACCTCTCTGGCGTTCATCGCAGCCGCCTGCCTTGCACCACTGCTTGGGCTTCCTCCTCGTCAAGCTTGTTATGTCTTCTTTTGTCGAGTCTTTATTTGTAATCCTTTATTTTATGCTTTTGTTTTATGTGCTACCTTTTTTTCTTTTGAGTCTTCATTATAATTTTGTTTTAGTCATTAATAAAATTGTGTATTGCATCATGATTTGGGTTAATTCTGGTATCATTTGGTATCGGAGCTAGCCCAACTCTAGTCGCATCCCAGGGTTTTTTATTGTCCGTTCCTACCCAATCCACTACAATTTTTTTTCTTTCATTTCTTTTTTTCGTTCTTAGTTCCTTCTTTTTTTTTTCCTTTCACAGATTTCAAATCATCATACATGCCACTAAGGAGATCAATGTCCGAGCCTACCCAGGACAAGATACAGCGAGAGCTCTGCCATCTTCAATGGATGCTTATGGATATCGAAGAGGAAATCTAGCGGGAGGTTATCGTCGATCGCGATCTGGAAGGTCGAAGGGAAGAATAAAAATATATGAAGATGAAGAGGGAAACCTAACGTCGGTTTCTACCAATTCATTACCACTAAAGGTTGCAGGCTCTATCTTCCGAAGAGGAGAGATTGCATCACCAAGAAGCCTCTGTTGTTACTATCCAACAAAACCAATCTGCAACTTTGTCACGGTCAGAAGATGTTGCAAGTGCCACAGATTTGGACATGTTGAAGCAGAATGCCTACCAGGCTACTTCACCGAGCAAGGTGTTTTCGAAAAGTTTGGTAAAAACACCGTAGGTATTGAAGAGCAGTTTAAACGAGAATTTTCATCCGATGACTTCTTCCCTCATGGAACTCCCATGTTTGTGGATGCATCCAATGTCTTTCCCTCATGTGATGAGACGGAACATGCGGCTTTTAATAAGATTGTGCTTCCTTCCTGATCTCCTAGAAGATGAACATTTTGTTGAGACATAGAAAAACATGTAGACCAAAAGATGTTATAATTTAAAATTTCAGTGGACGGTCTTCGTAACAACGAACTGATAGCATCACAGGCGACTACGCTTCCAACCCTCACCCTCAGTGTTCCATATGAAGAAACGAAAGGTCGGTGTGAAGCTCTTGTTATTAGAACACAACAAAAGATGTCAGTTCTCTAAAACTTCAAGAGTCAAAGGGAAAGCCCGAAAAATAATAAGAATCATCCATCAACCAAAATCTTACAAATCCCCAACCTCGTTTAGGCCCAACTTGTCATAGATGAGAAACATATGAGATATTTACTTGTTCAGACTTTAGCTCTAAAAAACCTACGTGGTGGTGCACCTCCGGCTCAGATTATGACAAACCAAAATGAATCGATTGGGAGGTATGCTCGCATGTGGGAGAAGCTCCTCAGATGCTTTGGTAGTCGATGCAGTCCCCAGTGGGATCCAGGGGTGGATGACAACGACACAGAAGTTTCGACCTATGACGTCGAAGCTCTCCCCCGAGAGATTGATGCTGGGGTAATGGAGGACCAACCGATCTTCATAGGGAGGGGGTTGCCTCTCCTCTCTTCCCCTTCTCTTTTCCCTTTCCTTTCCTCTTTTACCTTTCTTTTCTTCCAAGCACTTTCCTATTTTATATTCTTTCCTAAAATCTGAAATCCTGATTATATTTTATTCTCATTTCTTATTTAAAGCCTTTCCTATTTTAAGTCCTTTCCAAAATCAGAATTTTGATTACTTTATTTACCCTTTCCTAAATTTAATTTTCCCTCACTTTATTTCCTTACATAAATCTGAAATCTTGATTTGATTCTTTTTTCTTATTTTAAGTATTGCCTAAAATAAAGTCCTAGCCTCATTATTAGAGTTAAGGATGTTGTTTTTGATATCTGAATTTAAGTTTTAGCCATGATATTTACCTTTCGAGGCCTATATCTGAAGCCTTGATAGTCCTTCGATTGTCCCTCGCCCGAGGTGGTGACCGTCTCCAAGGTTTCAAGTGGTGTTCCAGCTGTTTTTCAACCCCGGCGAGACATTTATCTTACCGTACTTCCATGTCCTTGTTGCCATTTCAGAATCCAGCCATCGTAGCCCCCTCTTCCACAGCTGCCAACCACCTTTCTGCTCCCGTACAGCCACCGCAGCCCCCTCTTCCACTCCCTCCCTTAGGACTCCTTCCAGCCGCTGCCTTCCTTGTTAACCACCGACCAAGAAACCTTCAACTCCTCCCTACCTCTGACAGACTCTCCCAGCAGCCCGCTGGCCTTGCTGCATCTCTGATTCCTTCCCTGCAGACCACAACTACCGCTATCCTTGACAGCGTTGCTCGAACAACATACCAAAAAACTCTCCCTGCAACTTACTTGCAAATCACAACCACTGGTGCCCTTCCAAGCTTCCTCCAACTACGGTTTGACGCCCCTACCCTTGCTGATTTGCTACCCATGCCTTTCACAGCAGCGAGGCACCTCTCCGGCCTTCACCGCAACCGTTAGACTTGCACCACAGCTCGAGCTCTCTCCTCGTCAAGTTTGTTGTATCTTCTTTTGTCCAGACTTTAGTTGTAATCATTTGTTTTACGCTTTTGTTTTGAGTGTTGTTTTTCTTTCTTCTGAGTCTTTATTGTAACCTTGTTTAAGTCATTAATAAAATTGTATCGTGCTTTGTGGTTTGGGTTAAATCCGGTATCACAACTTTAGCGTGGTTGATTTGATGTTTTATTGTGAGAAGGCAAAAGCTTCCACAGATGAGGTTGAAACTTCCCCAAACCTAGTAGACTGACGTGAGCATCTACTGCTTATAGAACGGATGCTGGAATTTTTGCGACAGAAGCAGCGTGCCACTACTTACCTGGACCAAACTGGTTCAGGTTTTTTTTTTCATTCTGAGGAGTTGGTCGGTTCTCCTGGGTTACTCTTAGTTATCATATTATTATATATTGATTTTTCTATGAATTTAGGGTTAGTTTTGGTGTACTTTTTGTCGCGATAGCCGTCGACGTCTCCCTTGCTCTCTTTGAGGTATGTATCCAAGGGTCGAGTAGTGCTTCGACTGTATCTCACTCCCAAGTTGGTGTTTATTCTTCCTTGAAATTTTCGCATCTATCCTGGCGTACTATCACGTATCATTCTTTTGCTGCATCTGCCCAGAATAGCCATTTCGGCTGTTTTTCTACTGTTCTAGCAGTCGTCTCCGCCTTACCCTCCCTCTTTGTTACTACTGCTGCTCCAGGCCTTTTGCTTTGTTGTCACCTTTGTTCCAGCCCCTCCTTTTTTGTTTTCTGCAGTAGTCATCCTTCCTTGCCACCCCTTCTTCCGTTGTTATCTCCTTGTTGTCTGAGTCGTCTTTGCCTGTTGCAGGTTTTTTTTCAGCCCGCTGCCTTCCCAGCTTCCCTTACCATCATCGGTTGCTATCTACCCGCCGCCAGGCCACCCCATCCCTATTGCCATCCATAAACCGCAATACCAAACCCCCCTTGTCACTCCTGCCGACCACTACCGCCCTTAGATTGGACTCCTGTTTAGATTTATGGGTCGTGTGTGTTGTCATTTCTCATTTCAGTGTGTTTGGTTATAATCTCCTATTCGCTTTTCAGTAATAATATTTGATTTTCTATTGTTATTTGGGTTAACTTTGGTATCTTCCATATTTCTAAAATATTGTGTAATGATCTAAGCCCTTTTCTAAGTCCTCTCTCTTTGCTTCACCAAGCCAATACAAGTAGATTTCTTTTACTCTCTAGACACTCGCACTTAAGTTCACACACACACACTCACTCTCTAGACTTTTCTCTTTTAATTTCCATTTTCACTTGCTTCCTTTTAAGCCATTCCCGCCTCCAAACGATCCTCCCCCCTCTCCCGAAATTTGAATTCCAATTTTAATAAATGTTCTTCTTGGGCGGTAGCGTTGCGATACCTGATTTGTAGAGAGTCTTCAGCATTTCTTGCTCTGGCATTGATAGTGCTGCGACGCTCCTGGTGCTGGTGCTGGTGCTGAGGCGCTAGATAGAAAAAGCTGTTGTTGGAGGGATCCAATTTATCGCCTAGGCGTTGGTCCTAGTGCTATGGTGCTCAGTATAAATCACCAAAACTTTTTGAAATCATTTCTAAGGGTTTTATTGCACAAAAAAATGCAAAATTATGCAATATATGTAAAGAAACATGAAATAAAGAAACGTGTTTAGGCATATTTTCAGGTGTTTTTCTCACTCAATAATAACCAAGGAAAGATGTGTAGTTACAAATCAATGGCACGTGTTGCTTTGTTTGTTCTCAATTGTTCTGGCTACTCATTTGTGATAAGTTCAGAGATATACTCAGACGCTTTTCATGAATTTCACTGATGTATATGCTCAAATCTCACCAGTTTATATTTCAGCTTATGACTAATTGCATTTGTGCTGCACAGCATGTAACCTATTCAGCATGCATAGCATTGGAGAAAATTACCCCCAATCATGTCATTTTCATTTGGCTAGACATGTCGGATTAAATAATTAGTAAATATTTCTATTTTTTGTTTTGAATTTTCTAATTCATCTGATCTACAGTGAGTTGAGCGTTTTTCTTCAAGATTTTATTGACTGCTATTGAAATTATTTTGATGTTTGTTTGACCTGCTGCTTTGTTTGGTTTCTGTTTTTAATTTTTATGCTTATATGTTCATGATTTAGATATTTCTATTATATCAACAATGAAAATTTCTCTTTTGGTTCGTATAACTGAAAGGGAACTATTCCCCTTTTAATGTTTATACTTGCTAACTATGACATCCATTTAAGTTAACATGGTAAGCTTTACCATCAAGATTGTCAATATCTTCATCTTTTACTTGTTTCTTCCCTGAACTTTTCTTGGAGAATTTGGTTATGAATTTTCTCAATTCATAAGCTCATTTTTTTATTAAATAAATTCATTTGCAGGAGAAATACAGTGTGAACAACCGAACAATTCATTATACACTTTTACAGGAAATCTAATCATAGATAAGCAAACACTTCCCCTCTCTCCAAATCAGTTGTTGTTAAGAGTAAGTGATCCCATGCTGAGGGGCATCTGTCTTATTAAAAAAGGTTTCTATAGCGTTGTAGCTTTAAATTTCCTGTGAAATTTTAGGATTTATTTCTTGTATCCTAAGTATAAGTTAAATTTTTTGCTAATTATTTAATTAGAAAGTACATTACTGTAGGAATTGTTCTTGTAGTTACTTGTTTGTAATTTTATGGCATTTTTTGTAGTGATGTTAAAAATTGCTAACGTTAGGAAGGAAATTACAGTAATATAATGCCCAGAGATGTTGCAATAAAAAAGGAAAAATGGTGACAATGAATCCTATGAAGTGTATGTGGAATGAGCCAAACTCTTAACTTTGGTTTTGGCTATGTTTGGTGTTATAGCTATATTGTTGGTTATTCTTTTGCCTTTTTCTATAACAAAAATACTGTCACAAATAAATGCGAATTGTTCTATCTCATTGGCTTTTGAAATCACAAAAAAGATGCACTTGTAAAATGGTAATCTTCCGAGCATATTTTTTTCATTTTAATCATAATTGGTTTTTAAAATTTTCAGCAACTAACAAGTGAAGCCATATCAAGCCTAAATCATTTCATGGTCCTTTTGTTTCAAACTCCCGATAGATATGCTGTTATCTCTTCATTTTGTTGAATGGCACTCTAATTTTGTCAAGGAAAGAATTGGACTTCTTTTTCGGAAAAGTTAATTAAATGAATACCATAAAAGCATCATCCTCTTATTTATTAGTTTGAGATTGGTCTGTACTCGCTAGAATATGAATGTTCCCACAAATGTCAACAGAGTGAGCATTTAAATATTAGTTGTGCAGAGTATACATTTTTTCCAATGATATTATAGGTGATATGATTGTTTTTTAAAATTATTTTGTCTTCGTCAGTCTTTTTTTTTTTTTTTCCTTTCTTTGTCTTCGTAGTTGTTCTCTAGTTTTGTCAAATTTGAATTAGGAACTATTCTTTACATCTTACAATAGATTTACTCCTTCCAAGTCTTGCCCATCTAACTTTTCTTTAACAACATGATACAGGGTTGCAGCCTTCGAAACACAGAATATATAGTTGGAGTCATTATTTTTACTGGACATGAGACAAAAGTGAGTTATTCTATGAATCACAAATGAGCATGCACATGATAGCTTTACTTTTTTTGTGTGCGAGAGCAAGTTCTTTTTCCTCGCTGGTACAGCCAACAATCTTTAGAAACTCCTATAATCCATCTAATTGCAGGTAATGATGAACTCTATGAATGTACCTTCCAAACGAAGTACCTTGGAAAGGAAACTTGACAAACTCATCCTCGCGCTTTTTGGTGGTCTATTCTTCATGTGTCTTGTTGGAGCCATTGGCAGGTCTACCCTCTGATAATATTGATTTATGGGATAATTACATATGCAATATTCAAAACATTGTTATTTACTTAACTGGCAATTGGTGATTTTTTGAGCTACCGAATCGATATATTTACACGTGCCATGATCAATCTATCGAGAATTTGAGAAAAAATGAAAAATTTTTGTTGGTGTTTTATCATGAATTTTGATATTTGAGTGAGAACTGGAAAAATGTATGAAAGAGGGCGCTAGATTTGTAAATGGCAATGTCTGGAGTGCTATGTATGTAATTGGCCCTTGATTTATTTACTGACTTCCATTTTATAGTATTCATTGTTATCGTATCTACATTAATTATGTTTATAAATGAGTTGACTTAATGGAGTTGTTCCTTTGGTTAAATGGAAAATTTTAACTATAGTGTTTGCTTCTGGATAATCCAGCCTTACTGTCTGGAAGGTTATAAATTATGCAGCTAGCTATGATTGTTAGAAGTCCATTTTGCTTTATCTGCAATATTAAAATCAAGGATTAAAGCTCACATGCTGAAATTTCTCTGCTAGGTTGAACTAGCATATTTATATCTTACATGCTTGAAAGTTGTTGCGTTAACTGGAATTTCGCTTTTGTTATCTTGAGATTTGATCTATGGTTTAAACACCAGTGCTGACATATTCCTTTGCCTTTTTAGTGGAATTTTTATCAACCGGAAATATTTCTATCTTGGTCTCAGTGGGCATGTTGAGGATCAGTTTAACCCTAGCAACAAATTTGTGGTACTTATTTTTGCTTGTGCTTGAATCATGCAATAAATTTAAGTGGATTCACTTTAGTATCTTTCTTCTTGATGCACCTCAATTTCAGGTAACCATTCTGACAATGTTTACCTTGATAACATTGTACTCAACAATCATTCCCATTTCTCTTTATGTTTCTATCGAGGTAGGACCTATTTGTATTATGATGTTGAATGGTTTTCATATTACCTTAATTTATTAGTATAAATTAACTCCCCCGTACTATTTTCAGATGATCAAATTTATCCAGTGTGCTCAGTTTATTAACAAAGATTTGCATATGTACCATGCTGAAAGCAACACCCCTGCATTAGCTCGTACGTCAAATCTGAATGAGGAACTTGGCCAGGTATTGAGATTTTCTTTCTTTATAGTTCTGCACTGTCTGAACTTTTAAACTTTTGCTTTCCATTTATGATCAAATTATTTCATTAACTTTATCGTCAAGAAATCATGACATGCATCCGTTATTTCAATAACTTTGCTAGGACAGTTGAAATTGATGATATTACCTATTATTTTGCAAGCTAGTTCCACTGAAGTAATTCTTAGACATTTTTACTGTAGAACTTAAATCACAATTTTATTTAATGTACATCTATATTCATGTTAAATGTTTTCTTATTATTTTTATTAATTGACATATTTTACGAGAGAATTCTAAGATGTGTTTGTGGCAGAATCAGAAAGTATAGAGCGATAAATTATTATTTCAGGGAGATAATATAAATAGCAATCATTAAAGATAAGAGAATTGAAAATATGCCTAGGGTTTGGGATTGTAGATTCGTGATTAGAATATGTACCAATAAAATGTGTAGATTGAATTAATTTGGATGTATTAGTTGGCAAAAAAGCTATGTGAAAGCATTGAAAGGTAACATGGTTAGAGGCTATGTACAAAAAATGCTTAAAATATAATTAAAACTTCATGTGGTGCACATACTTAGTATGACTGAATGGAAACAGGGATTTTTATACTGAATCAATATAGTTTGAACAAGAGAATTTATGAAAATGACGACTAATTTATTCTTATATTTATCCTTGATATTCTCCTTCAAATTATTGGAATCTTTATCGTAAACTTATTAAATTGTTTGAATGTCTCAAATGATTAATTTATTCTTATATTTGTCTATGAAAATCAAGTAGAGTTATAAGGGTTTTTGCACCTATGTAATTATATATCTATGTGTTTGATACACCTGAACTAATGTGAACAAAAGGAGGTATAATCGAAAATGGAGTTATAAGAAACATAGAGAAAAAATGAGCAAGTGGAGATATAAGTGGATGTGAAGATATAATGGGCGAAGGTAATATATTAAAATAATTCAAATAAAGAAATGAATTTTGATTTTCATGTTATTTTCTTCCACTTATAATCTCATTTTGTTTTACTGTTACTCAGATATGTCTACTTTAGTTATAATTTATTATACTGACATTGTGATAGATATTATGTGTGATGTGGACTTTGTTCGATTTATTTTCTTTGAATAGGTCTATTTTTTTAATATAGAAAACTGCAGTAGTTTTTGATTAGTTTATTGAGCTGTGGTTGCTCATCCATGCTTTACCCACATGTGTTGTTTCAGGGAAGGGTAAGACTCGGGTTGAGTAGAGATTTTTGTGTTACTGGTGAGAGTCTGATATTACATGTGTCAGTACCTTAGATCTTTATTTTTACAGTTATGGTAATGTTCCCACAGCAAACCCCCCCTCCTTTCTTCCTGTTTCGAAGCCGCGCCCACTCCCTGCTATTGAAAACCCCATTAAGAACTCCCCTTGTTGTGTCGTAACTCCCCTTTCCTCCCTCACTTGTTCCCGTTGACCCTCTCTACCACCCAACCTTCTTCCGTAACACCCCACCTATCCAACTCTTGTGCCATAATACTCTTTTTCTACCCATTTGATGTCGTATACTCTCTCTACCTCCCAACCTGCTGTTGTAACACCATCTACCTCTCCCATCTGCTGCATTAACTCCCCCTCCAACTCACACCTCCTGCCGTGCAGCCACCGCCGCCACCCACCCGCGTCCTCGCCCTAGGGTGTCGTGTCTTTTATGTTTGGTTGTTAGTGTGCTAGTGTCACAAGTTTTTTTTTTTTGTAACTTTTTTTTGTGAATTTCAACAATAATATTCGTATTTCTATTATGGTTTGGGTTAACTCTGGTAACAATTTAGATTCATTTCTTTTAGTTCTATCTTTTCCTCCTAATCGTTCAGTCAGTGTTCATGGACTGTTGGTGGGGTTAAATTAGTTGTTTGGTTATGTTTGGGTTTGCTGATTGAATTTGGTTCTCATTTTACACCATCTGCTGCTGTTCCTTGTTTGATCTTTGGGCTTGCTAAGCGAATGTGGGCCTTGGTTTTGAACCTTTTGTGGCTGTTTATTTTTCTGCCTAGTTTGAGACAGCTTTCTCTTGCATGCAGAATAGCAGACCTACAATTCAATAAGATGGGAACTAACCACTATACTTCGATTCTATTTACTGTAACTTTTGTAATATTTTACGTGACAAATCTGTTCTATTTTGTTACAAATGATCTGATATTGGTGGTCTTTCCTACGTGACTTGGTACCATAAAATCGATCTTATTTTGCACTGGTTATTATTCTCTATCTCATCCAGGATCTTGGCTTTATCACCTCTATATGAGCGACCTTACAAGTTAAATTGAAAATTTTAAATTGGTTGTCACATCTATCTTTTATTCATTTTTCATTCAAGAAGAATTCAAATTCTAGTTTTTGTATTTTTTTGGTGCTTGGTAGATGTGTTATTTATTTGAGTTTGGTACAAACACAATTATCCAGGAAAACTTCACAAAGCTTTGATCTTCTTCTCTTAGGTGATTCATTCCATCTATTTGTTTTCGTCTGCATATTTGTTATTGGCTTTGCTGAAGTTATTGATTTTGGTCAAGTTTGATTCAAATCTTGCATTCTTTTTTGACCAATGAACTTAGTGTGTCAACAATGATATGGGTTTCAGGTTGATTTTTTCCGACAACTTCCAGGATTGTTTCATCATTCTTCTCCCCTATTTAGAATATCAATATTAGGCAAAGAACCTGCTCCATTATGGGCTATATATGCTTGCGGATGCTCAAGTTTTGGGAGAAGGTGTATTTTATTCCCAAGGCATGGCAAAAACTAGATTTTAGCTGAAGGGTATATGTGGAGAAAAAATCAATGAAGGAAATAACCATTTGTTATTGGGTTTTTTATTATTTTCTTATTTTGGATTGCTAATGTTGTTAAAGCGCACTTCATGAGCAAAGTGAAGCGAAGAAAAGTACATGACACCCACTTCACTTTGTGGAAGCGCGCTTCGAAGCACTGAAGTTAATTTGTAGGTTTTTTATGAAATTTTTAATTTCTAATTATTGCAAAAATCCATTAGAAATTGTTCAAATTTTTTAATTTGTAGGTTGACCTTCAATGTTTGCCTTTAGGTATTGCATCACATTCTTTTCTATTTTGTTTAAGCTTTTAAATCATACTTTATATTTAGTGAATGTATTTATACTTTAATAATTTCACAAAACCTGTCAACGTTTTGGTTAATAAAAATCGTCACTTCACTTTTCGTTTTAGGGCAAAAATAAAGCATTGTGTTTCTCATTGCATCTTGTGCTTCGATAACACTGGATTGCAGCCTTTTACTACTAATGGCTGTCATTATTGCAGGTTTTTTCTTAAGTATATTTTTTATGAGGTTTCTAATCTTTGTAAATATGATGTATCCACTGAGAAAGGCATTTTGGTTCTTGTAGCCCTGAAGTTAGGATTAAAGATACAGACGTACCTTCAAAACCAAATCTGTGAAACAAATTACCTAACTCGGGAACCATTTAATGTTTTTGTTTTATTGTATTTTACATTCATGTTTGTAATCAATTATAATATTGAATTCATGCCCAATATTTTACAGGTGGAGTACATATTTTCTGATAAAACAGGAACATTGACAAGGAACTTGATGGAGTTCTTTAAATGTTCTATTGGCGGACAGATGTATGGAACTGGCATTACTGAAATAGAAAGAGGAATTGCCCAACGTAATGGAATGAAAATTGACGAGGTAGATATACTAAGTTTAATTTTCTAATGTGAAACTGTGTATCTCCTCAGTACTAACTTGAAGTGCAATTGTTTTTTTCTCTTGATCATGCTTTTTACAGTCTCCATCTTCTACAGCAGTCCACGAGAAGGGTTTCAATTTTGATGACCCTAGACTTATGCGTGGTGCATGGAGAAATGAACATGATCCTGAAATATGCAAGGTAAAATGTGGACTTATCTTTAACAAAGTACGCTTACAATTTAATACCTCACTTCTATGCATAATTATGTGATTCTGTCATATCTTAACTATTTTACTTGAAGTTAAATTTTCAAATGTTACAAAATTTTATTTTAATCTGCCCAATTTTCAACATATTTTTTATTTCAACATTTTTGATCAGTTTTTCTGTCTTTAAATTTTTGTTGCCGCTCTATTTTATTGTCACTGCCATTATGTAAGCTATGCTGGCTGTAATTTCTTCCTTTTGTTAACTGGGCTTTCAGTAACCTATTATTCTGAGTAGATATATAGATGGAGACTAAGAGGGGCAACATTAATGACAATGTATGTTGTGGCTGAATTTTTTTTTTTATCATTCGAAAAGGAAAGAATGCAAGTGTAACCAGGGGGAAAAAAAAATTTTGTGAAAGAAGATTCAGACAAATGAACACCTAAGAGGAAGAGAGGCTTGATATATGGTTGAAGACAACATGATGAAAACCCTAATGTAGGAGAAAGTTGGAGGATCAATGGTGTAGAAGACTAGAGCGAACTCCTGAATTGCAGATCTTGATCCATATTTATGAAAATGTATTTAAACAAGTTCAGAACCACTCATAATTAATGCTAAGTTATCAGACCTCCTCTAAATGATAAATAACAACGAACGACATAACATAATTGAATATGATATTAAAAGAAATTAGACTCAATATTGATATCTTCACATCTTGCGTTGCATCAGTTTCCCTGAGCTACAATGGACTAACCAAGAGAATCAAAATGTTACAAGAGGAAGAATTGAAGGTCATTGATTGTACTATAAAGTCACTGAACTTCATTCTGAAGAAGAGGGATGAATGTGAAATTCATCGTGAAGAGGAGGTAATGATTTAGAAATCCATCCCAAAGAGGAAGGGTTCAAGGGGAAATATGTCACCATCATCAATACTATTTGTAGAAAGATCTTTCATTGGCCATTTAAAAGAATTTCACAACTAAGAAAAGGCTTATAACAGCCTAAATGTCTTCACGCGCATTGCTATTGGTCCAACCTAATAAAAATACAATTGATTAAAGTTAGGCATTTTTTTTCCGTTTGATTTTATGGCTAGGATTGGCTGTTTAATATAGAGCAACACAATAAGAGAGTTGCAAGAAACGAATGAGTGAATCAAACTAAACGTTTATGGATAAATAGCTGAGCGATTTGGACTAATGGGTGTAATACATGTGTCAAAACTTGCTTAATGCTGGTGATTGAGCACTGCGAGTGATGTAAGTCCAAGTAAGAGATGTGGACTAACATGTAAGTCTGATGAAATACAAATGTGGATGGACCTTATGGTAGAGCTGAAATGTAGTGTGAGATAAGAACAACAATGCCAGTGGGGCCAACGTTTGGTCGAGTACAACTATTGAGCTGGTGGGTTGATCGCGTGTTAGTGCAATATCGTAAAGGTTGGGGATGGACTTGCAGAAGATGATGAAGACAAAATGTGCTCCTCATGCTATGTTCTTAATGATGTTGTCGGTGTAAAGTTATGGGGATAATAAGGACTAGGACGTTTGTGCTGAGAGGGGTGATGTCGTTATGCAAGAATGTTCTAGGCGGTAGTTGCAATAGTAGGGCACATAAACAGGAGCTATGATTAATGTATGGACAGAAGATTTGGTTCCATGCCATGTTAGGATCTGAAGTTTGCCAATATTATAGGAGGCATCTGTAGCGAGTTTGATGAAAACAAATTTAGGAGTGAAAGGTAGTGGGTATAGTTGTGTGAGATCATGGAGTAGCTCAAGGGCAAGTTTTGTGAATACCTAATTTAAATAGAAAAGATTATAGATGTGACGATGAATATTGTGGACTTTTTTTTAGATAAATAATGAAAGAAAACTCCATTGAGTGGGAGAGCCAGTCAAAAAAATAAAATGGATAAGAGAAGATTTAGATGGATGAATCTCTTAGATGGAGTCATGAGAGTGGAATCTGAAAAAAACGGAGAATCAAATGGGAGAAGAATGGTATATTAAAAGCCGTTGCTATTTGATTATCAACTTCAATTAATTGAATTGCCAATTTTCGGTTCAGTTTATAGAATATGTTTTATTGAAAATGGCAAAAGTCCTCTTTGGCAAACATAAACTTATTAAGCTAGACTTAAAGGGCAAACAAGGACAAATGTACATAACACATTTGAATAAACATGTTAGTGATGTGAATAAGTCATAATCATTATATCAAAAGGGTTACATTTTACACTGTATCAATTGGTGTCTTTATTTGATATTAATTGAACATTTGAACTTCATTTCAATAGGAATAGAATCAATTTTATTAATTGCGTTGAATACTCTATTAAGTCATCCCATTCATTTTCTTTCTCATCCAAACCTAATATTTTCTTCTTTTTAGTATCAAGATTATTATAATATGCATACTTATAATAAGGAAACATTATGTAGCAACTTATTACATATTTCATAATGAATATATTTTGTCGATGTTTCAAGGTATTTGATGTTTTATCTTATTTACATTTGGTGGATCTTTGCCATCTTCATCTAATTCTATTACTCTTGTAACAAAAATATGAATATCTCATCATCCTATGATCTAACAACACTATTTTCATTTCTTTTTTCATCTTGGTTAACCACCCGTTCATAATTTGATTGTAAATCATCAAGAATTAAATGATCATCATAATCTTTTTGCGAAGTTAACCTGAGGTATCATCTTTTAGTTTCTTGTTTTGTGTGATATAGACCAATTTGTTCTTACTAGCCCCAACCAAAAAAATTAACCTATTTGTTTGCACTTAATTGAATGTGCTCCAATGTTGTCTCACATAAATAGCTGAACATGTTAGACTCGGAACCTGACTGTAAATGCTTCAATATTTGGTGTTTCATCTCCAAAGTGCATCAACCAATGTTCTAAATCATGAGTTTAAGAAAATTAAATTAAAATTGTATTAATTACTTATTTAACAAATTTAATTATAAGTTTATTATTAAATAAATTTAATAAGCATTTTAGTAGGTGAATGATCTTGCATGACAATTAGGCAGCTGTCATGCCAAACACCCTTTTGCGTAAGAATTCTTCTAAGTTTTCTATCAAACTTCTCAAAATATTCTAATGAGCTTATCATTATCTCCTTACATTTATATAAGCTAATTTCAACCTTCGCGCATTCAAAGTAGTTTTCATCAAAACAAAATAAATTATTTGGAAACAACGAGTAGAATGCTAGAATGCAAATAATGATGATTGGTTTTTCTATTTAATAGAAAATTAATGGCTATTACTAGCCGTTATTAATTCCTATTATGATTGTGAGTTTTTAGATTTGATTTCTTCATTATTGTTTTCCTTTTTCTGCTATATCATATTTTTATTTTTCTTTTCTGATGGATCTTCTAACGGGTTTATTTACTCCTTTTTGTATCAATAAGAATTATTCTGCTTATATTCTAACATGGTATCAGAGCCATAATTTGAAACCCTAGAGCTGCTGCCCTAGTCACCGGTCTCCCTGGGCTTTTTCTCTGCCACCAGACAAACCAACCTCTAGGCATGCTTCCTACGTGACCCTGCCAAGCACAATTTGGTTCCCTTTGAAAGCTCACTCTGACCATCTCACGGTTCATAGCCAAAGCTTCCATCAAGCTGCAGTCATTAGAGGTGGGTGAAAGGAATGAAGGAATGGGCGGCAGAGCTCCCTACTCGGAGTTCGACCTCGCCATACACTTACTGAGTGTAGACTATGTTGTCAGAACTAGCTGAATTTGGCAAGTGTTGGGGATTGTAGCGGGGTTTCAGCTTCTCCTTAAGATTGGCCCACTAGAGTGTCTCGATTCAGAAAAAAGAGCAAAAAAGAATGCTAATGAAGAAAGTCCAGGGCTTGGGTGTTCTAGCTTGCAGTGCTTGAATCTTCTATTGCACTTTCAAATCCGCTTCTTCCTTGCTGATCTGCTTGCCCTCCAGATGTTTAAGCGTCCCATCAAGCCTCTTCAGATCAACCGAAATGTATTCAATCCGCTTGCGGACGTTGTTCCTAGCCTCGACTAAGTTCAGCCACCAAATCCCAAGCGCTGGCCCCTATAGGTGTAGCTTGACTTGCTGGCGATAGTCTCCAGTCACCGGAGATCCTTGTCGTCGTCTGATCCTTCTCCAACTATTTTTTTTAAGTTGTTTCCCTGTTGGATTTTTTTCTCCGTTGCTATGTTAAAGGTTTTTTCCATCAGCCAAGTTCTTCCTTGATCCCAACTCTGTCGCTGTCCAGCCTGCAAGATCTTCCTATGTCTCGACATCACAGCCTGCAAGATCTTTTGCTCAACCCTCTTCCATGCCACCCTGGGCTGGTCACCCAACTTGTGATTACTGTCACAAATTCAAACACACTTGTGACAAGTGTTGGAAGCTCAATAGGAAACCTACTTACAAACCTTCAGACAAATCCTTCGTTGCCAAGGGTTTCACTAGGATATCTAAATCCACCGCGATATAGTCGGCCTCTATCCAGAACATTCGAGAATCCTCAGGTTCTCTTCAGTATGAAATGGATCTCTTAATCAAGTTGCTTGGATCCAATCAGCTTTCTTCCGGGCCATTGACCTCCCCTCCCACGTTCGTCAAGGTACCAATATTATGACACTCATTTCTTTTGTCTCTTCTAGTCCATGGATCATTGATTCAAGTGCAACAGACCATATATTTAGATTCTTTCAAACCTTCTCGATACACTTAAAATTTCTGACGTCTCCTATAGTTCAATTGCTAGTAAAGGGTCTTATGTTTTAACAACAGGTTTAACTCTAGAATCTGTGTTACATGTATTTTTACTGAAGTGTAACATTTTGTTTGTCAGTAAGTTGACATAAAATATTGATTGCGTTGCTCATTTTCTTCTGATATTTGTGTCTGTTAGGATCGTTGCTCGGGGAGAATGTTTGGAACTTCTAAGTGGGTATGCGGGCTCTACTTTTTCC